TTTTTCGACAACGTAGTTTAATGAATTTGTTAGATATTTTTATTGGTTATCAAACACATTTTAAATAATTTAATTATCTTAAGAAGTTTTTGTGTAATTAACAATTTACCAAAAGAAATAAAATTTTTGTGGGATTTTTTTGCATCATTTTCTTTGTTTAATTTAACTACGTAATTTTTACATAAAACAAATTTCACATAGTTTAATTTAAAAACGGTTATATCGTTTATATCGTGATAAAATTTCATTCTTGTTGACTAAAGGATTTGCAAATAATCGGCGCATAAAGTTGCAATAAGTTGTCCAACGCTTTTCCTACAACTTTCGACTCTCGGACGACTTGTGAGCAAATAAACGCGTAATTTACATCTCAAAAAGCGATCGTTACGCTCGTTATTTAACAGTTTGCACGGGCAGCCGCCGCCGCTCGTTGAATTAATGCCGCCGCCGCTTCCTGTCGTCCTCGACGGCGGCGTCGTCGTTGCGACGCATATTTATTGCGTCGACGCGACGCTAACGTATGGGACAGCACACAAACCGGCGGCGGCGACAATTTCGACCGCCATAAACAACCCGTTACCGTTGCCACCCCTATGCAAGCGAGTTGAGCGCATCCGCTATGAAGATGCAATTCAAATTCAAGTTATAGTCAAGTTATAGTGAATTGAGGACATTTTTTAGTAAAAGTCAATTTATTGATAAACGGATAGAGATAGAGAAGTGGGGTTGATTTGAGGTGATAAAGGGTTAAATTATTAATTATTCAGGAAATTTTTGTACTTGTATTATACAAGGTGTTTGAGTTACGGTCTTTTAAAGTTGACAAATATTTTAATTTTTATGACACTGGAAAGATTTTTGTGTTTAAGGGAAAAAATAATTATTTAAAAATTAGTGTTTAAACAAATTTAATAAACAAATACACCAATCGATAGCTAATTAAATTATACAGCACTAATATTTTTTCTGCTGTATTATTTTGAAGGATATAGCCATAATTTGAAGTTAAAATCAGATAATAAAAAATATTTACCAAAAACGCAATATGTCAGAAATTAATGAATATTAGCTTAAATAATTAACATAATTTAATTATTTTCATTCTCAATTATAGTTTATTAAATTATATACCTAGAATAAAAATTTTATCAAATTTGCACCTACCGTCTAGTAGTTATCATGCGTCAAAGTTGAAAACATAAAGTAAACTTTCTCGTGCACGAATCGAAGGCGATTACAATGAATAAATAACATCTACGCTGGAAAACTTGAAACTTGGACGCGCATGAAAGTGGAAAAACAAATTAATTAATAATTGAGCAAATCGGCAATCGCCCCGACTTACCCCCGACTTACCCCAGACGTCAAACTGTTATTACAGCTTTCCAAAGACGATTACGACTTGTTTTCCACGCTTTCCACGCTAGAAAAATAGTTTCCTTAAGGCCAACTCGTCGAAATAATTAATCACACCCCCAACCACAACTACAACTCTCATCGTAATCGGTAATTTTAAGTTTTAAGTCATTCAATCGCTAAAAAGTTTTAATTCCCACACAAAAATTCAAACGAAATTATTTATATCCGTCGATATGGGTGGGTTTTATAAGTTTGGGAGCTTTGCAGCTTTCGGAAATGAATTATTGAGAACGAGAAGTCATCTCCTAACCACCTAAAAAACTACACGTTGTTATACACCACGTGAAAAAGGAAAAAAAGTTAAACGTTGAAAAAGGGTTTGACGGTGGGTTTTTCGGCGGCGTGCGTGAGCTTGTGTGCTTGCCCACTGCGCACTAACTCAACTCTAACCGACTTAAGTCTGTAGGCTTAAGTCTCGAATCGATTGCACACGTCGAGTTCTTGCTCGTTGGCGCCACCCAAAAAGGATGCGGCGGCGGACCACCCAATAAGGACACGACGGCGGCCCGCGCACGCACGCCGAACATGAATAACTAAATTTACACGGCGTCGAAATGTCCGAGGGAAATTAATCATCATTCATATTTGACTTTTGAAAATCAGCGTTTGGTAAATGCTTCAAATTGATTTGTAATATTTTTTGTTCTGGAAATTTTTGCTTTTTGTTAGAAATTGTTTAATAACTTTTTAAGTAATAAAGATAAATAAAATATTGAAAGTGCGTTAGAAAGATAGATAAATTTTTGAGTAGTGTTCTTAATTTTGTTTAAATATTATACAGGGTGTAGTTATTATGAGTCATCAAACATAGAAATCAAAATAATAATTTCTAAATTGCTTTGTTTTGCAAAATATTTAATTATTCATAAACTAATTCATATAATTTAAAATTGTAAACGCCATCTTAAAGATACGTAAATTATTTATTAAATTGCTAAATTTGGTGTTTGGATAACCTAAAATGTAGCTGTTATCGGATCTTAAACATTCAACGTCAATATTTACACCAAAAATGAAAAATTTTATAAATTTGTTAATAACTTTTAAACTAATCACAGTACAAACTCCAATTTAACAAAAACCGACAACTATAAACATTATCTTTAAATAAACATAACTTTCTTTAAGCATCTTTATATGATTTAGGCCTAATCCGCCTTTGAAGTAGTAATACTTATTACAGTCAATTGCAAATATTCCTCTGGCACCTCTCGAAAATCACGAAAATGTAAATACGCTGATTCAATGACGATAATGGAGCGCGTGCTGTCGCGTGCGCGCCGAAATTCGAACATCCGGCCCGTGCAGCCCCTAACATTGACTTTTCGGCGCTCGCAATCGCCGAATTTTCTCGTCCGCAGCACTCGCGCACACACCAACACATCAACTGTGATTCCCGGCGTAATGCCCAAGTGCGCTTACGTTTGCATCCCCTTTTATTTCGGTTTATTTCGCAATTTCAAACAAGAATATACGCAGTGTTTGATATTAGACTACAAAAAAGTTGTGAAGAAAGTTTAATCAAAGATTACTCATAAAGTTTTTGTCACAGGTAAATAGACAAAAATTGAGGTAATAGGTAATTTAATTGTTTATCAAATAGGTTTTACAGATTGTATTTATGTTAATTAGTTTAGCTGTAATTAATTATTTTGTAAATGAATGATTTTTTTTATTAAAAAAAATGTTACTTAAGTTTGACACAAAATTACGGATAGACCCTGTATAGCAATACATAAATATTTAGACAATTTTAACACAAAATTTAATTAGCTTTAATTTAAGCTATAAATCATTAATCTTGCACAAACAGTTTCGGAGATATCTTCAAAAAACCAAAATAAATCAAAATTAACATAAAAATAAAGTAATTTTTACTTTTAAACAAATTTTCTGTCACACTCTGTATGCATTATGTTTAATGTAATGTTGTATTGTCTCTTTCCGAGTGTGTTTGTGGGTTGTGCGTGCGTATGACTCGGGCCGTGGCCGACTGTCTGCCTCTATTGCGAATTGTTCCGGGGGGTACACGTTTAGGGGTTTCACGGAGGGTGGCCTTGGTCATGGTCATTTCCACCGACCATCCATCTCGGCGCACAACGAGACGCACCCCTCTGGTGTTGCACGGTGGATGGTGGCACGCGGCCCGGATGCGGACGCGCTTTCGAAATTCGAAATTCAGCCGACGGGAACGAAACAGCGGCGCATTTCGCCGTTTGAGAGGGTGAGGGGGTGAAATGCGGACAAATTCACTTAGCGCACTTACATGACGATGACATGAAGACATGAAGACAACACACGCCGGCGTGCAAACAGCACGCATTCCATTTCACCCCAGGGGGTGGTGGTGGCAGGGATGTGGGGCACAGGGGATGAATTTTGAAATTGATACAACTGTTTAAAATTGAATTTGTTTGGATTACGGTGATTTACGAGGTTATTACGGAAAATAAAATATTGTTAAGTTTAAGGGTGGATTATGGGAGAACCATAAGGGTTAGGGTCATGAAATTTGGTACAATAATTGATAATTTAATAGTCTTTCGTAATTAATTTAGTTTTTTAAGATATCTTTATTAGTTATTTAATTATTGTTAATTTAAACAAAAGTAACAATTTTTATATCAAAATTTTTTACTTTGAGTTTTATCTTGAATAACGGATAAGATATCATTACAAAATTTATTAAATAACATAATGTGGATAAAGAATTTAACCAGCTTTCAGAATTTATATCATTTTATAAAATATTCTTACTAGTTTTAAAATAAATTAAAGTTTTCTAAAGAAAATCAATATTTTTTTCTCACAAATTTTTTTTGTGTTTAAAAGTTCAATAACTTTTAAACTAATAATACAATAACACTCAAATAAATTTCATTAAATGTAGAATTTAATTGTCTTTCTAAAAATGTTTTACTTAATAAAATATCTTTATTTGTTCAAAAGATATTTGAAGTTTTCTAAGCAAGAAAAACGAAATCTAATCGAAATCGAGGCGTTTGCAACGCGTGCGTGTGTCACATCGGCGGTGGCGGCGCCGGGGGTGGCGAGGCGTACACGCGCGTTCGCTCGAAGGCATCCGGGAGGTGGTTGGGCGCAGCCGCCGCCGCCGACGCCGACGCCGTCGCCGGTCGACGGTGCGGCAAAGTCATCTGGAGTTGAGAGGTCATCCGCGTCGCCTAGCAACCGACAACCTCTTGCTTCGGCCTCTCACGTTCACCCTCACCCACATACACCCGCCGAGAAAATAGAGATATCTGTGCATGGCTCGGAACGGATCCCACAAAAGGCGAGTTTTCCAATCGCTATCGAGATCCGATGCGGAGATACTCGGGGAGAAGATGACATCGTCCTGCGACCTGCAATATTCTCTCGACTTATTGCTTATTACTTCTGCTCGACCACTCGCTCGCAGGTTCAGGTTTTATTTCTTTTTCTGAGGATATCTCTGGACAGGGGGTTAGTATATAAGTGTGTGAGGGTAAAAGGTAAGAATAAACCAAGGGTGGATGGCTTGAGAAATATAAATCTTGGGAAAAATCAATGTTTCGGAGTGGTTTTAGCAAAATTAGAAAATATTTCAAAATTGCAAAAAAATATTATTTTAGAAAAATCAAAATAACTCAAAAACTAATAAAGATAATTTATAAATTTAAACAGTATATGAAAGCCACTTAAATTTAATCATTCTATACTTAATTTCAATCTAGTAGTCTACAGGGTGTTCAAGTTATTGTCTAATAAAGTTGCAACTTTATTTCAATATTTTAAAAACAATTTCCACTTATTAAATTGAAGATTATGGTAAAACTATAAGAGATATTTGAAATGTTTAAATGTTATTAGAATTATTATTAAACTAGCTCTAACTGCACTAAAATTGACAAGTGCATTATACAGGGTGTAGCAGTTATTTACATCTAAACATTTAAAAATATTTTTTGCTAAAAATAATTAAAATAACAATAAAAATCTCACTAAATTAACACTTATCATACCATAATATCAACCCTTGTTTATTTTATATACATATTAACCCTCCAACCCTTAAATTCTGCCCAAAAACTGTCAAAAACATCAAACAATTTTAATAAAACTCAAAAATTCTTTTAAAAAATGTTCAAAATTAATTTAGATTAACACCCAAGATAACACCACATCATGGGGTGTTCCTTTCCTTAACTATTTTATATTCCCACCCCTAAAAGGTAAAATATTTAAGATTTTTCGAAATTAAAAAATTTGAAAAAAAAATCAAAAGTTAATATTCGGCTCCTCGGCGACAGTTTACGATTGCGTCTTGATGTCTTGCACAACCCACACCCCCTGCAGTGTGTTAACCCTCGCACGTCTAAAACAAAACCCTCACAGCGGGTTTCCTTTCAGTTTTTTTCTCTTCGATCATTTGGGGGTCTGAAAATTTCGGAACATTAATTATATTGGGTGTTTGCTACCTGGTCAGGTCGAGGAAAGATGCCAATACTTAATAAATCATAAATCATCCCTTATTCTACATGAGTCAGAGTCACAATGGAATTCAATGATGCAAAATGTTAGGTTTAAAGTATTGGAAAGTAAATATTTGTTCGATTTTTGGGACTGGGGCTAAAGTTAAGAATTGGGGGTTGACTGGGGTAGGTTGGGGGTTATTAATAGATGTGATTTTGGCATGTTTTATGTGTTTATCATGTTTTGGAGGGATGCAAAGTGATTTTTTAACGGAGAAAAAATTAAAGAATTTGAGTTTGAGGAATGTGACTTAGAAAAAGGTGAAATTATTAATGAAGGGATGAAGATAACATATAAACAAAAATATCATTTTAAAGCTGATAAAATTTGCTATCTAATAGATTTTACTACATACCTACTTTTATTTAACAAGATGTTTCCGTAAATTTATATCAAAATAAAAACTTTTTTCAAAACATATTTTTTGCAATGTTCTATAAAATTAAAAATATTTAAATGAAATTTTGGCGCAATAAAATAAGTTTAGACAGTTTCGGAAAGTTAAATAAATTTTCTATCCACTGCACTTTACTTCAGTCAATTATCTGTACTGGATGAAAAGTTATGAGCCCTTAAACTTGAAAAATATTTTTTCAATTCATGTAACCTGCAAACAAAAACATTACCTAAAAAAATAATTAATTAAAATTAATCTAATTAAAATTTAATCAATCTCTTACTATACCTACCCTAGTTCACAGATAAATTCCTGATCAAATGTCCTTGATCCCAATCTTGTGCGTTCAAGGACATGCGAATAATCATCCCTCAAAGTACAAGTTCATGCAAATCAAAGTTGCGTTCGGAATTAAATCCACGCTCCAAGGGTTGGAATGCAATGCAAATTAATACGACCATTACGCATGCGAATTGTTTTAAAATCCGAGCTCTTTTCCAACCCCCCACCTCTTGATAACATTCTGTGCGTTCGCTTTGTGGCGGTTTCCCCCAAGAATGAACAGATACCAATTAGCGCGTTACCACGCAATCGACTTTACTGATCCACCTACAAACCACCTCCACATCTACACCGCCAGTGTCACGGGGGTGATTTAAAGGGTTGCGCGTTGGAATTAACCCCCGAACGACGAAATAATAAAACCCGCTTTGCAGGCCGCAAAACACTCGCGTTTGATTTTCAATTCGAGATGTTCACGTATTTACCATCCCCGCAATATCAACCCTCATGGATTTAGGAGATGTTATCCCTCTGTTGGTGACCTTCGACAGCTGATTATACAAGGATTTGGCAGAATAAACAGCGTTTGTGAGTGGAAACGAGGAAAATGCGTTTTTGTTCGCTTTTTGGACGCGAAAAGGGTGCGAATTTCAAGAGTATTAGGTTACTATGTAGCGTGCACTGAGGGTGGAACACTCGGCGTTGATAACGATCACAAACGCCACGTGCAAATTGTCGGAGAACAGCAAAAACCACCGAATTAAGTGGTTACTTTTGTTTCGATTTGTTTGGAGAGGAAATTAAAAAGTTACCTCAACTTTGAAAGCGTGTAACTTAAACATTTAAAGAGATATTTTATTAAAACTTTCATAGATTGATAAAAAATTTAATCCCTTATCAATTTATGTTATCATATGAAAATATAACTTATTTTTTGAGTTATTTATTGACTGTTTTATAAAATAAAGCAAAAAATAATTATTTTAAAACAATATCAATTTTAATCGTAAATTACGGTAACACCCTGCACTTTATCAACAAAATTTAAAGTGCAACTAATAGATAATTTAATTGTCTATCAAATAAAATTAACAGCATCTCAATATCTTTAAAATTAAAGCCTAGAGAAAAATTTTAATAAAAAAAAGAGAAATTAACTTGGAATAAAATCAAAAATATTCAATAAAAATAAATTCCCCTTCAAAAAATCGAAATTTTTATTGTGTTGCTTGCTAGAGGGATGTTTGCCGTACGTTTCCGGTTTATCACATCGGTATGCAACCCCTAAAAGCATCCTCGGCGGCGTGCTATTTATGAAATTTGGCGAAAACATAATAAATTTCCATTTTCACATGTTTCCACCGCCGCCACCACCACGCGCGCAAATATTTTTAATAAATAATTCATAAACACGAATATTTCTATCTATTATCATGTTTAATGTTATTGCGTCTCGCTCGTCTCGACCCCAGCGTCGAAATCAACATTTTTGGACGGCGCGTGTCCTGCTCTCGCACTTGGGGTGGTTTCACCGCCGCCAGCTCGCCGTGTTTACCATTCCCAACATTCTCAACGTATTCCACAACCATGCTTACCTATTTCATCCCTTATATTTTATATATTATCACATGGTGTTTGTAAAATATCAAAAAAATCATTTTTTACATTTTTTGAAGAAATTTTTAGTTTTGGAACACTTTGTATAGTCTAGTCCGACAAAGGGCGATTCCATTGTTAGTCTGCAGGCTTGGGGGTACGGGGGTAGTAAAAAGATTTCGGGAATTGCGGAATTTTCGGCGTTTTTCCGACAGAGGCCGAGTATTAGTGCGATTGCACCGACACAAAACGGGGTTGATTCGACTAATAGATGGTATCTATGGGGATGTAAAGCCGGGGGCTGTTGCAATGAAGGGCGAGGAAGATCCAGGGGCATGCTGAGTGCATGTTGATATGTCCTATTATGATAAAAACTTGATTTATATCCGAGATTTATCTGCTACGTGTCAATAAAAATTATTGTTACATTTTATTATTAAATTAATTACTCAGATACTAATAAGGGTAGGAACAAAATTCAAAAAAAAATTTATAAATAATTAAATTATGTATCAAGTATATTAATTTCGTTGTAATAATTATAATGGTTTAAAAGATATTTTGAATTCAATAACTTTTTCGTTTTTTAAAAATTAGAAAACAAATAAAATTATAGTTTAATATTTATTTACGGAAACACCTTATAGATAATTAAAAATATATATAATTGGTTTTGTGTAAAATTTATATGGCTATCTAGGCATATTTTTATTTTTTAAGTAGCATTCTTACTAATTGAGTTATTTTTATTTTAACAATAAAAAAACAAAAATATATAATATTTTACTAATTTATTAATTAGCCCAAAAGTAATTAACACATCGCTACCAAAATATTTCCATAGAAAATAAATTAAATTCTCTATAAGCGTGGAAAGTTTCTAGTCTCTACCTCTTATAGTTTATAAATAATTAATAACTAAACTTGCAACTTACTTTTTTAATTACAATTTGTTTCAAATCATCCAAAAATCCACCCTTGAGCTAATAGAATATCAATTTGTTATTCATTGGTCGTGTGGCGTTAAGCGGCAATAACAATTAGCCACGGTGAAATCGCGATTTTGCTGCGCAACCCCCAAAAAAACTGCCCTGACATTAACAACCCGTAACCGACACACACTGCGCACTATTATTATAATTTAACGTCGAGTCATCGCCAAGATTCACTCAATCCACCACCAGCTCACAAGGGGTGGTAGGGGGTAATCAAACCCGGGGGTAGTTATAGTTCCAACAAAAACCACCCTACGATAATTTTTTCAGACTATTTGCATGACGCATTACGATCTCGAGCGAAACGCGCTCATAAAAATTTGTCAGAATTTCATCCCCTTTGGATGCGACCCACCCTACAATGACAATAAGATTTTCTCTCTCTCTTATATCTCGCTGTACATATAAGAAAACGGAAAGCGGAAGGAAAAAAAACGAAATTACTTACGCTTCCGGTGCGACAACATCCGGCGTCCGTTGAGTTTTTTTTTTCGCCTTCATCCCTCAAGGGTGGAAAATTGCACAAGCGAGTTTATTTGCATTTTTGGCGCTGGTCGTGGTGGTGAATTCGCGGCGCGTGCGAGTCTGCACATGTGCGCCGCTCTCACGGGGGTGGAAAAAGCGAAAGACGCATCCTGGAACAAATTTGCTATGGGGTATTATGTTGCAACTTGCGGGCGACAACGATTTCAACATGTTGGAGTGTAAACACTCGAAACACTCAAAACTACCCTTATTTTACTAATGTAGATATTGTATTAATACAATGTTTTGACATTTTTTACTAAAACATAAATAACTCAAAAACTATAAGAGATAATTTTAAAATTTAAATGCTCATTGTTTATTAATTAAATTATCTATCGTTTCCCGTAAAATAGTTGTTAATATTTTACAGGGTGTTATTGTTACAGAGTGTTTAAAAAATAAATTTATTTTTAATATTTAACTTTTTTAAGTTAAGATTACAGCTAAACTAAAAAAGTTACAAAAACAATAAAAAGTAATATGAATTAAGAAGTTAATTAGCTTTTAAATGATGGTATTGGTTACTAAATTGTAATATTTTTAACCTTACTTTTCTGACGTTAAACATTGTAAAGCAATATTGTAACCTGATTTTCTTTATAAAACTTTAAATTAATATAACTCAAACACCCTGTATAGTAATTAAACAAACTATACCTCATTTGATAGACAATTTAATTGTTAATAATATAATTTTTACAAAATTTGTTTATTTTAATTTTTGCAATTGTTATCTGAAAAAAACAAAAAACAATTTTATATTTGCCGGTACTTTTTGATCTTTCACAGTAAACACTAAATTTCCCCAATAAAAAATGCTTAAAATCTCTCCATTTTCTCGTAGGACATAACTCTTCAAGACATTTACACGTCCCGCTTACTAACCTCAATCAAGCACAACTGAATCGCGCGTAAATTGCACGGAAATCAAAGCGCGACGCGCCGACGCACTGACAATCAGCTGTAAATCCCAATTAAAACCCAATGTCCACCTGCAAAGGTGTTACCCGTGTTACAAATGCTACCAGCGCGACCACTGATACCGGTCTTTTGTCCGTTTAATCTCGACTCGAGAAATTTACACGTAATCGCCGCGGTATTAAATCAGCGCATGTTTTATTTCGTGTTGCGCCCGGGCCATTGTCGAGACGCCACGGCATCATTTGTCAACGTCTTTCGCTGTGTAAAGAGCAAAGGCAAAGACATGCGGAGACAAAACGGGCGAAAAATGTGTGCGCGTCCCGCATGCAGATTTATTTATGGTGCGCGAGCGACGATTAAAATCAGAGCGCGGAGTCGCGCAGTAAAATTGCGATTGTGAGCGCATCAACAATGGTGGACATGTCGTGAAGATGTTGGTGGATTCACTGTTAAATTGCCTACAAAATAATAGCAAGGAATTTAGAAATATTATACAGGGTGATAGAGAAAAATTTATTTAAACATAAAATTTATGTTTTTTATGTTTTAAGTTATAAAAATACAAATAACTAGGAATCTGTAAGTATTATTAAAAATTTGTTTAAATAAAATTTATTTGCAATTAAATTATCTTTAAAATGGCATATAACTCATTTATGTAGGTTTTATAGTTTAAAAGTTATGATATTTTAAAATTGAGTTACAAATTTTTGATTTTTGCAAATATTTGCAATACTTTAGCATTTTTGAGATAACAGATAAACCAAATATAATTGATTCAAAATATTAACTGATTATTATTAACAATTAAATTGTCTACACAATGAAATATAAATTGTTAAATTTGTATACAGGGTGTAATAGTTATCCATGTTTAAAGTAGCTCTACCAAAATCTGCGTAAATAAAAATATTTTTTTTACTTTTTCTTAAATAACTTTTAAACAAATAAACATATCAATACAAATAAAATTATTTTATATTAACAATTAAATTACCTACAAAACGACATATAACATGTAACTTTTCCTCACAGGATGTTCAAGTTATCGTGCCTTAAAGTTCAATCACATTTCCCTAATAAGCTACCGAGTTTAAACCCACAAATTAACCTCTTCCGAATGATTGACGACCTAAAAATAATCATTACACATCACCGTGATGTATAACATACACATCTTGAAGTTAGTAACCTAACAGTAATCCAAAGTGACGATTCCTCTTCGTCTCCAAGCATCCAGCGCGCTTAGATCTCGCCGAAGATGAATGTGAGAGCGCACGGCTAATTAATAAAAGACATGTTTACATGTGTCGCGTCGTTTGTTGCCGAAAATCGTTCGGATGCCCGGTTGGTAATTGCCGGCGCTTGCGGGCCTCCAGACGTCTCATCGACGGCCGCAGAAGAAGAAGAAAGAACCGACTCGGATGGCATATCTCGTGGCGCGTCGGTTCGGGTCGTTTGTGTAATCCGAAACCATCGGATGCACGTTTCCTAACCGGCGCACAAAATAAAAACGCAAAACGCCAGCGGAGAACGAAAAAAAAACAAAATTAAACTGAGGCGACATTTGCATAACGTGTCGTAGACGAGATTAAACAATGTGATAACAGTGTATTATACAGAGGAATTAAGAAAACACTGATTTTTATTATAATAAAGTAATTTTTCTTTTCTTCGGTTTCAAGTACTTGGTACTCAGTTTCAAGTGTAATCTTAGGATAATACACGCATTGGTAATCTTGTACTCAACATGCATCTAATCCTGGGCTTTCGGAAAGCTCCGTGGCTCAGGTCAACGATAACGATGTTTCTCTTATTATTGCGATACTCGTGCAGCACTTGCAAAGCTTCTTGTGTGCAATGTTGTAATCCTTTCTAATCCTTTACCGGCGAGGCGAAAACAAGCAAAATTTCGCACTCCAATGAGTTGTTTGAAGGTTTTTCTAGTTGTCTGGCGCCAGTTGGACTTAAGTTAAGTCAAGTGTTAGGGAATTTTTTAGCAAAATGTGCAGTGGTTTAGTAAAAAATTAAAAATAAATATTAAATATTAAGTTAGAAAGGAAATAAAAATGTTTCTTATTTAGAATTAAATTGTCTATAAATTGGTTTTAAAGTTTTTAAATTATCATATAGGGTGTTATAGTTAGATGGTGTTGAAGTTAGAAAATAATTTTTTTCGACATTTTTTACTAAATATTTATTTAAACAAAAACAGTAAGATTTAATAACAAATACTTTATGTAAGCTGAAACTATATTAAATTATCTATGAATTGACATATATTTTATAAAATTATCTCAAATATTGCAAAAGTTACAGGATGTTAAACTTCAACAATTTTTTTTCCTAAAAATATTTGACTGTAATAGTTTTACTAATTATTTTTTTATAGCTAAATGAAAGCAATAATTAATAATTCGTTGAAACTAGAATCTGAAATAAATTCTCTACCAAACACAATTTTTTGAATACTCTATCCCTAAGGATGTAAAAGTTACAAGGCGTCAAAATTTGAAAAAAAGAAATATCTCTTTTTAACACGATTTTTTCTGGGTTCAAATCGCGATTCGATCTTTCAGCTTCGAAAAAACAGTCGCGTCCTCGGCGGGACTTCTTCGCCGGCTTCTCGGGAGTCCTCCTGTGTCGGCGCGCCGGTGGCGCCTAGGCTATATAAGGCCGGCCATTATATTCGGCAAAGCGAGCGTGCACACGCCGAAAGTGATGCGTCGCGAAACGCATTCATCCAGGGCTGCTGGGCTCCAGGGCTCCGCGGCGGCGTCGGCGTGGAGCTTTCAAAGCTCGCGCCGTGTACGCACACATGCTGTACGCTCGTACGGACATATCGTGCGCATTATTAGCGTTCTTTATCGAGCGTCCGCTTTGTGCGGTGTACGCAAGCGTGACCCGCTCAAAGCTCAAGCATTCATGTATTCATACTCAGTCATGTTACTCAGTAATACTAATTTTATCCGGAAATGTAGTGCTGTTTGTAATTTTTTAGAAAAGTTAAGATAACTTAAGAACTATATTAGTTGGTGAGTTGATGCAAAATGTTTGTTATTCTATATAAAATTATCTTTAATTTGATGTATAGAGTGTTGTTATAGTGTACAGGGTGTTTTATTTATAGCGTGGCAAACTTCACAAATAATTTTAAGAAATGATAAAATCAATATTTTATAAAATATTAAATAACTTTAATACCAATAGAGCTATTAATCTGATTCAATTTTTATTTATATCATGATTAAATTATCTTTTTAACGATGTGTAACTTTATATTGTTTCTGTCCTTTAAGTTACAATAGAAAATGTGCAAACTCAAATCTTATAATTTTTTTACTGATAATTTATTCGCATGTTTAGTGCTTTGTAACTTTTACAATTTGCACGATTTTTAATTGAAATAAATTTCAAAATATACATAATTTAACTGGTTATTAAACCTGTTAAAATTAATTTGATAACTTATCAAGCTTGTCCATTATTTAAAAATTAGTAAAATAATTACATTAGCCAAGCATAATTATGTTTTGTAACTTTGTCACCCTGTAACTAATTAACTTTAAAAGATAATCGTAAAATTTTTACGTTTAATTATAGGTAATTTAATTGTTTTTCAATATTTGTTAACCTCACCTCTCTATCTTTTTCCACCTCCGAGTAATCTTCAACTTTCTAAACAAAATCAAAAAAGTACTTGTGTTTGATTGCTAGGTGAAAACTACGCGTCTGTGGCAGTCATATTTTCGTTTTTTTATCATCCGCGCGACATCATCTCTATTATTTTTCTTTGTGCGCGTTTCCCATCGTGCCATCGTGCGCTTTAATATAAATTCCACGGCGGGCCGGTCGCTATCGCAATCGCATACCAATAATAATTCCGATGTCTCGTTCGTTCTCTGCGCTCTGCTCTTTTCTGCTTCTCTGCTGCACCAGACATCATACAATGTGTCCAGATATAAATAAAATAAAAATACAAAAAAAAGAGAAAGAATAAAATCAGGGATTGCTGGGTTGTTGTCCAGGCAAAGAAAAAAGTTGTGAGAATGTCGAGGCCAATACGACCTGAATGCGGCTAATAATCACTCTTTTGTCTCTAAGTGACACTTTAAAAGACGCGATCGACACGACACAATCACCGAACAAGATCTTGTCATAAATATTTCTTGCAGTGAGCTTTACA